AACATGTAGACATGAAACAATGTGGTGGTATGAACTGGAGAACCTACAAACATGATGTGGCATCTAAATGTGTATGTAAACCCTCTGACACCTAAGCGAGACCCCGAACACCAGGGGGATGGAGTATGCATCTGCCAGGATGCACTACTCCACTGGGATTATTTACATTCACGGAGTAAGTATATGAGATACTGCCATAGTCCAAGTAACCTCATTATTTATAAACACCATCAGTGATAAATGAAATAATTCCTATCCCAACACCACATTTAAATCCAACACTTCATCTCCCCACCAACCATAGCAATCATAGCACCCAAACACCAACCCAACTCCATCCCTTGAATCTTCTTCCCAATCGCCGCCTCTCTCCCATCCTCAAACTCATACCCAAGCCTTAACAACGCATGCATGAACGTTAAATCAAGGTGCCATTCCGGGCGATCAGCAAGTTCAGCCATAAGTTCGGAGCCTGTGCCCCAGTGGTTCCACAGCCATTCGTCGTGGCCTTGACAGACTTGCCGTGTGGTGCTGGTGATGGTTGATACGGATATGGGGGAGGGTGGGAGGAGGGGGGAGAGGCGGTTGTAGAAGTAGGAGAGGAGGAGGACTTACCGTTTGGGAAGGAGGAGAGGAGGGAGGGTTAGTCGACGCCGTTGAGGAGCATGGTTTGAGTTTGCAGATTCTGTGTGTGCATGTGTATCAGTAAGGGAAAAGAAAACAGAGCAGGGACAGGGAAAAGGAAGGGGGAGGAGAGAGAAGGAAGGCGATCGAGAGAGAGGAAGAGGGGAAGACAGAAAGGGGGAGAAGGGAGAAAAGAAGAGACGGAGAGGGGGGAAAGGAGAGTGAAAGGAAGGAGGATAACCGGATGTATGCGTCCTTTGCCAGCACGAACTGCACCACCCGATCACACACCTCAAAAGACCCAATGTCCCCTATCCATCGTCACCTCGCCCATCACTTCATCCTTGAAAGTCATGACCCTCCATGTGCCCTTCGCAAGACACAGATTATCCACCACCGCTTTCGCTTTCGTGCCCTGCAGCGTTGACATGAAATTAACCAATCTATGAACGTGTCTCCATGCACACATCAGCCCATACCCCAAGTACGAGTGTTGGTACAACACATGATTCCGGCCACCGAATTGCAGATTGTATTTATGTTCCCCCTCTTCTAGCTGCATATCCGACGACGCGAAGATAGGCTTTGATACGATTTGCGTAGACGCGCCGCCGAGGTAGAGGATGGCATAGGCGGGTGTATCAGGCGGTGTGGAGGCTTTGATGGTTCCAAAAAGGTAATCCGCCGTGATCCACTCATATATGCCTTCATCTTTGAAATCCATGATCACTACCCCATCTTTTTCCTGTGTTTGGAAGGGATAGGATGACCGAATCCTCCCTTCCACCGCCTCCAAAATATCAGCGCTCTGTGAGCCCCGTAACAAACGAAGTACAGCGGTAGCTTTGACGGCTACAGGTGTACACCTGTACATGGCCTTGGGCACCACGCAGACGG